TATTAGAGACATTATTTTTAACCTACCATTTAATTTAGGACTTGGTTTGCAGTCGCTTTGGACTGCCGTGTTCCTGCTGTGGCACTTGTGGCAGTTACGTGACGACTGTGCCTGCAGCATTCACTGTCCAAACGGTTCCCTGATATCTATCAATATACATGAAGCTTCAAAACACAGAAAAAGAACAATCATCTTCCTTTTATTCAGTTGGGAGAGGCTGAGCCCACAGACTAGACCTTTCTGTTTCTCCGAGGGAATGCCCAGCATCCCTGCAAACCGCCCTTGTGAACGCAGGAGGGACACGCACAGTGGTGATGCGACATTTCTAACTAACATGACAAAGGTTACACAGTGACTCGGTGGCATTTTTCTGACACCGGATCACATGCTGTTGATCTCACGCAACAGACTGCATCAGGCTGAGCAAAAGTTTTGCCCAGCTTGGACCAAAATATGAGAAACTGTGTGAGAAGCAATTCGATTTATTGGATGGTTTGCAAACAAGATTTACCCAGTGACAGCTGCAAATTCAGACCTCTGTGACCTCGAAGACCAGCCTTCAACTGGACACAGCTGTTGCCTAGATATTTTTATTTTAACTCACTTTCTTTTTCAGTAAAAGCTGTTTTAAATGATCACACATTTTCACCCATAATCCGTTTTGTCCGTTTTCAGCATCTGTGGCACAAAGTTGTAAAATAAAGACAAGGCACATAAATGTGGAGACCTGGCGATACATTGTAGGAAGCAGAACCCTCTCTTGCACACTGTGAAAGCTTTAAAACCCAACTTGTTAAATCTGGAAAAATCTGGTAGGATAAAATAGCAAAATAGCCTTTTCCAAAGTCATATGTGACATCTCTCAGACTGATGGGGAAAAGCTATTCAGGAGAAGAGTGCAGGAGTAGGCCCAAAACCAGAAACACAAATCCCAGTCCACCAGTAAAACTGCGCTGTGCCACTAGATGTCATGGTGGAACAGCGAGAGATGCCCGAAATGTGGCTTTGTGCTTCTTGCTATAATTGTAAAATGCCTTTAAATTTGTCTCGGCACATCCATGGTGTCTCCATACAGCTTTGATCCTGCGGATTTCAAAGCTCTGCACAGTGCAGAGGGACATTATGCAATGTTTCAACAACAAGCACAGGGAAGCCCTGTGCGGAGAGCTGATTTCTTCAGGGTTGTGGGGCCTGTTTTTTTGTTTTGTTTTTTTTTATTCCTCTACTTGAGTTCCTCTCCCAAGGCCACACCAGGGCTTTTAAGGACTCGAAGCCGACTCGATGCACTGAGATGGTCTCTCTCACGCTCTCTTGGGATGAGTATCCTACTCTGTCGTGCTTGTGCCAAGCCCTGTTAAATGCAACTCCGGTTCACCATTGCTTAGTTACACAATGTACTTCTCCCTGGAGTCATAAGATTTCCTCCTGCAAGAAAGACTGTGTAGAAGAGGATTAGCAGTGTGTTCACTTGACTCAAAACTCCCCACTGCCTCCATGAGCCTTCCTGCTTGTGCCTCACATGAGGAGCCTCAGACCCCTCGCGCCCCTGGCCCCCTTCCCGTTTATCGGCCCTAGTGTTGCACACAGCAGAACTGAGCAAAGCCAGGAACATGTTCTTCCCCTGCTCCTTCCCATATGGCAGCTGGGTTTGTGCCCACGCTTGGCAAGCCCCTGTGGTGCCTGTACCTGTGCAGGGCACACGTGCGTCCATCTCCCTTCCAAGAGCAGCAGGAGCCGCGCGGATCCGGATGCAGAGAGGCGGGTGCTGGCAGAGGGCTGGCCATCGCCTTTGGGAGCTGCTGGGAATCACACCCGGTGCTGCGTGTGTGAGCAGTCATTTTGCCTCCCAAATGTCCCTGATAAATGTCCTTGGCCTTCAGAAGGAACATGCTGAGCACCAAGCTGCAGCAAGAGTGTGTGTGAGTAGCTCAGATCAGTGATCTTTTATTTTCTTTGTGATTTACAGGTGCTCGGTGCTCTCTGTGTGTTCACCACCTGAGGATGAACCGTATGGACCAGCCTTGGGCGCAGCCCTGGCAGCCTGAGGGCACTGCTGGGGAGGCTGGGGCATGCCTGGCAGCGCAGAGCCAGCGCTTAGCTGGGACATGCTGAGACATTCTACTGCTGCAGGAAATAACCACAAGGGAGAGTTGGGCCAGTCTTTGTCCTCAGAGCAAGTTTTCCAGATTTTATTGGTTTAGTTTTAATATCTGTCTTTTTGCAAGCTTCCGACTATGACTGAACCTCTGGATTGATCCTTTTCTCCTTTTTTGGAGAAACCATGGTCTGTCTGCTCTTTGCTCCCATTTATTTTAAGGCTTATGTAGTTTTTTAGTCCCTTTTCATTTCAGGTTTCAGTTCCCAACTCCTTTAACCAAGTTCTCAGTCTTAAAATTATTATTAAACATCTTTTTAAAGGCTTAATTCCCAGTTACACAGTGATACAGCTGTACAATCATATCTGAAGCACCCAGTCCCCACCCAACCCACCAAAATAATGTTTCTGGAAATGTCAACCAACCCTGCACTTGTGTAAGGTATTAGAAATAATAATTAGGGGTAGTCAGAAACCTTGAACATTATACTTAATGTGCATACAGGGAGAGGTATTCAAAGCCATTATGGCATTAAGGCTCAGGGAAATGGCAGGACTGGTGGGGAATAAAAATGGAATTAATTACAAGTGAAGGCCCAATATTCACCTAGATTTAAACTAATTTATGCTGCTTACTTCAGGCCTTTCAATGAGTGTTCAAATGTGGAGGAGACAATTTCAGAGGAGGAAGTCTAAGTCACATGGGAGAAGCAGCTTATATTACACCAGTTTTTGTGCTGGCCTCGTGAAAGTCCTCATTTGAGAGTTTGTAGGTGAATTAGGTTAAATTTGAAGCTCCATGTTATCAAGTCTAAGCCTGCATCACCCAATGCTCATTTCATGCCCATGAGAAGAAACATTCAACACAGAGGCTGATTCATGTCATCCTGGGGCAGGTGTCTAAGAATAGCGCAGACAAATCATCCTCTGGAGGTGCCTATTGTGTTTTACCTACTGTCAAACGAGCTAAAGGTAGTGAGCTTTGAACCCAATAATTTCCAGATGTCTAGTGTCAGGCAAGATGAGCACCTGAGGCAGGGTGGCTGGGGCCCTACCTTTAGCTTCTCTATTCTTGCCAAGATAAATAAATACTTCCAGTGAATTGCAAAGTTGCAGGGAACTCACTGATCGTCTTTCTTTTGATCTTAAATCACAGCTCTTTTCACCAAATCACCAGGCAGCAATTGCAGTGCTGATAGTGGTACAGAGGACTGGGATTTAGGACAGGTTTTAGCCACCTGGAGCATCCCTGAATCGCAGTGCAACCAGCTATGCCACGGATTTTCAGCCCTGCTGAGCATCCCGCAGGTGCTCAAGGGGAGGTGAGTGCCTAAGAAAGAGATTTTTCAGCAGTTGTGAGCACATACACATGCACACAGATGCACATGCCTGCAGCACCGAGTGAATGAAGGGGGGTTGGAAAATGGCATCGATGTTGGGGGGAATGGCCATCTGCAGGGGAAGGATCTGCTCAGACAGCTAAATCCCTTTAAAAATCAGGCATGGCGTGTGGCTGATTTTTTTTTTTTTTCATTTGTTAATTTAACATTGTTCCTATTTGTAGGACAAATAAATAATTTCTGAACAAACAAGTCAGAGAACTGGAACCTGAGGGGGTTGGTACATCAGCTCAGAGACTCGTGGTTAAGAAGTCCAATAGATTTTGATAACAACTGGAAATTGTTCAGTGGATTAGTGTCTAAAGCCAGTTTGGCTTCAAGTAATGACAAGCCTGAGCTGCAGTGCTGTGGATCCAAACTTCTCCCTCTGAAGGTTGTTGTTGCTTGTATTGCAGTTGTGGGCAGGGTCCCCAGTCGTGAGCTCAGTCCCCTCTGAGCTAAGAGATGTCCTAACCCAGAAAACTGAGCAGACAAGGGGCTGCCTTTGCTTTTTCTCCAGACATCTGGCTGAGATTCTCTCTGCCCGTGTCTGTAGTCCCTCGCTTTGCTCTCCCAAGCCATGAAACTGGCTCATCCTGGGGACGTGGGACAGATGTATGTAGTTGCCCAGCTCCTGTGTAGGGCCATGTCCTATCTAGGTGTTTGGAGCCAAAAGGCTTCTGTGGATCCTGTCCCAGTTCATCTTCCACAGGAGCCGACTCCTGTGGAAAGTGCATATGCTGTCAACAAGGTGATGGAGATGGTTCATCTGCACGCCTAAGAAAAAAATTGTTTTGCTAAGACAAAGTGTACATTTGTTTCTGCAGAGCTTTTTTCTTTCAAAGAGTCTGGCCCCATGCAGGAGACCAGATCAAGGTGTCCGGATTCTCCTTAGGTTGTGTTTTGGCCATCAAGAAGAAAGCCACAAATGCAAATCATAACTGGTTACACTTCAGGGCTATGGC